TGCTTCTCTCTCCTCAATGCTCCTGGCTCTGAGAGGGAAAGGGCTCAAAAGTTATCTCCCTAGGGCCAGGCCTGGCAGTCTGCAGCGAAGAGGAAGGCTGAGGGTGAAGGGAATAAGCTATAAACAACTGCATGTCAATGGCCTGGATTTTAATTAATTCCACTTGATTTGAGCAAGGGAGAGGTCAGTTCTCTGCCTTTAATTAGCGCTGCCTCTCCGGTCGCACGCAGGGAGATGGGGCAGGTAACGTATAATAGTACACCCACCAGCTGCAGGGAAGCAGCTCAGCTCCAGCCATTGAGGAGGAGGAGGAGGCCAGGAGGGGGTTCTGGCTCCTCTGCTTTCCCAGAGCTCGGGATGTTGCTGGAATGAGGCTGGACAGAGGCTTCACAGCGGCAGCAGAGGGTGAAATGTTTATTAAAGATCTGCAGGAGCTTGAGGAATGGCTCTGACTGCTGACTTTGAAGTTTGCTTGCATTACAAACGGCTACAAACTGACCCATTTCATGTCTCAAGTTTTGCTCTTTAGAAATTTTCATTAGAAATGTCAAGTGTTGCTGAATCTCTGGCACTCACCAGACATGAGGTGCCCATAAACAGAAGAGTGCGTGGGGCCCATTCCTTGTGCGCCGCTGATTGCTCTTTGATGATTTCCTTTATGACCCAATAAAGGTTTTCCCTTTAAATTAAAAATGCCAACAGCCCTGATGTTTGTCATGGGAAATTGCAGTTGGAGGAGGGGACATGTGTCACTGCAGGCACCTTTTGGTGCTCAGGCTCTGCTGCAGCCGAGTCTGGGTCAGTGCTGCTGTACACAGCACTAACATCACACCCAGGAGCATTTCGGGGGAAGACGTGGCCATGCCACGTGATTACAAGCTGTGAGAGATGCAAACAGCCAAATTCAGAGCAGAGCCCATTTTGGTGACAGTTTGGGGTTTCTCAATTGCATCTTGCTGACTGTTTTCCTCCCACTCCTCCCTAGGGAAGGATTTATGTCCAGAGGAGGCCACGGAGCTATCAGAGCACTGGAGCACTTTCTGTATGAGGGAATTGGGGCTGTTCAGCCTGGAGAAGAGAAGGTTGTGTGGAGACCTCAGAGCAACCTGCCAAGAGCTGAAGGAGCTCCAGGGAAACTGCAGAGGGACTCTTGGTTAGAAATTGGAGGGACAGGACAAGGAGGAATGGGGAGAAATTGAAAAAGGGAAATTGAGAATAGATATCAGGAAGAAGCTTTTCCTGTGAGGGTGGTGAGACACTGGCACAGGTTGCCCAGGGAGGCTGTGGCTGCCCCAACCTTGGCAGTGTTCAAAGCTAGGTTGGCTAAAGCCTTGAGCAACCTGCTCTGGTGGGAGGCGTCCCTGCCCAGGGCAGGGGTTGGGGCTGGATGATCTCTAAGGTCCATTCCAACCCGTTAGCATTCTATGAGTCTATGCTGTAGGGTGAGTCTGACCTCTGCAGAGCTGAGGGTGCTGCCCCAGATGTTTTGGGGCTGTGTGAAGAGCAGTGCCAGGCCTTGTTCTCCTTTCTGAAGCCAGGGAAGAGCACAGCCCTTGTCCCCAGCCCCATCCTGCCTCACCTTGGAGTAGGTGGCTCCATTGATGACTTCTCCTCTCCGCATCCAGATGATGGAGGCTGCTGGCTTGGCATTGTCTGCGTGGCAGGTCAGGTTCAGGGGATCTCCTGCTCTCAGGCTGATGATGGGCCCCCCCATAATGACAGGATCGTCTGGAGGAACTGCAAGGAAAGAGCACAGAGGAGATGAAGTCATTTGAAGCATGAGTCACCTGTGGGGTCTGGACTGCCAGGACTGACCTGTGACCTCTCAGACCTCTGCAGATGGCTTGGATGTGCCTGTGGCTGTGTGAAGCCCCCTCTCAGCACATTATAGACACTTTTTGCTGCTGACATGAAAGCTGTGCCCCAGATTTGAACTAGAGCAGCAGCAACTGGTGAAGTTTTCGAGGGGCCATGGGCCAGCTGGCTGTGAACTGTGCAGGGATATGAGGGATCAAGTCTATGGCAGATAAATCCACCAAGGGCTACTAAATCCTCAAAGCCCTGGATGTCTCTGAGCTGCAAACTGTGAGAGGATGGTGTGCATTTGAAAGCAATATCCCTGCTTGAAATAAATATCCCTGCTTGCTGTTCCTCCCCAGGGATCTTTAACTGGCTGCTGCTGGACACAGGACATGAGGCTTGGAGAGGATTAGGTGTGACCCCTGTTCCTCTGATTTCAGACTGGGCGGTAGGTGAGGGTATTTTGGGGGAGAAGGGAAACTGGATCTGGACTGTTACCTATAGCACTCAGAGGGAATAACTTCTCCTGGACATCAGAAGTGTGATTTCCAGGCTCCTGCCTTTGAAGAGAGCTCCCCTGGCAGTTCTCCGTCACGGAGGGCTGAAGGAACTCCCTGCTCTGCTCTGATTTCCCTGTCACTCCCACTCAGTGTCTGCACTGCTGTCTCAGGCACAGGAGGCTGTGAGACACCTCTCGCTCGGACACCTCCCTCCTGCCCCGGGGAGACGTCCGAGCTTCTCCCTCTGCTGAGAGCTAACCCTGCCAGGGGTGTCACGGAGACGTTTGAGATCTCAGCCCTCCTTTGAAAGCACCTGAGCCTGACAGGCTGTGTGAGGCTGCAGCTGGTTACAGACCATGGCTGTGCTGGGATCACACAGCACCCAGGCACTTCCACTCAGCTGGGAAGCACTTCATGCCACACACAGGGAAGGGTGGGAACAGGGAAGCAGATGAGGAACACCCAAGCATGGTCTCCTCTCTTGGGACTAGCCTGGCATCTCTGAGCACCCCCAGCATGGTAAGAGATGGGAAATCCAGCTGGAGAGAAGAGCTTTCGTCTCTGCTACCCTGATGGGTCTGCTCCAGTCAGGACCTGCTCTGGAGAGCTGTGTACAGCTGTCAGTCCAGCTTTTCATGGAATCATAGAATTATCTCGGTTGGAAAAGCCCTCTAAGATAATTGAGTCTAACTATTCCCCTAGCACTGCTAAAGCCACCACTAGACTGTGTCCCCAAGTGCTACATCTACACGGTTTTTCAGTCCCTCCAGGGATGGGGACTCCAGCCTGTTCCAGGTTGTTCTCTGAGAAGGTTGGTCCTACTGACGATCTGTGGGTGTTTCATCAAGAGATGAGAAGTTCCTGGCTTAATTAGACAAATGTACATTTATGTCTGCTCTGTGAGACACCTGAGTTTGCCCCTCCCTGTCTCTGGCTCCATAGCAGCATCCCCAGCCCCATGGATGCACCACACTGTTCCAGGGAAACAGCAGGGAACTGCAAGCTTCCCAGCCTGCCTGTTGATGAAAGCTGCTCTCAACCTCCATACTGAGAGCTCTTTCAGCCCAACCACTACCCAAAGGTGTTTAGCTCTTCCCAGCCATGACCTTTGGGACACCAAACTCTGGTTTTATTCCAGATTGATGTGTTGCTAAACCATCTCATGACCTGTTTG